TCCATCACTGAATGCTTCCATGCCCTATCAGTGCAGAAGGACTGCATGAGTTCAGAAAACATGTCATTGCGAGTGCATTTTTTTCACCTTCTAATCTGCGATAACCTCAGGGACGGAGTTGATGTGGGGAGCATAGAAATATTGGCAGCTGCAGGGGGGGAAAAGGGAGAGTAGATTTTAAGAAGATACATTTCTGAGAACAAAAGGGAGACTCTTTCACAGTGAATCAAGCAATTCATAGCAGACAACACAGGTACAAGGACGCATTTTGCCTTTTATATTGAGCGCCTGCCAGTATGGTGACACATCACACACGGCTGGGCACCAGAATTTGGTTTCCAGGCAGCCATGGTAAGTCAAAGGGTACGTGGGGTTGGCTTCTTCCATCTTCATAACATGTGGGAATGGTTTCAAACTGCAGTGCCATTCTTTACAATAGCAACCAATACCTGTTGGATTTGCCATTTAAAAGGAGGGGCTGCGGTTGCTGTTTAAAAGGAGGGGCTGCGGCTTTAGGGTGGATGTGCAGCACACCTCTTCTCTCCCCCCCCACCCCCACCCCGGGTTGCTATTGATCCCTTTTAGCCAGGCTCAAACAGCCCAGCATGACTGGGGTCTAATGTGTCGGGGATCACCAAACAGATGGGATTATTGGTCCCTTACAGAAATTCCCCTATTTCAACCAGGTGACCATTAATGATATCACTCTCCTGAGGCTGACACAGAAAGCTAAAGACCAAAACCCAGGACCATGCGCTGCCATGCTTTTTGCTGCAGTGATTCCAGACACTTGCTACTTGCTTGGTGTGGTAAAGTGTCCTACCATAGAGGATGAAATAAGGCAGTCCTCTCCAGAAACCTTCTGCAGAGGCTTTGAGCATCTCCAGGGGAGCTTCATGGAGATGTACCTGGAGGATTCCTGCTCCATCCGCAGACACGTTAACAGACTTTTCCAGTAGCTGTACTGGCCGCGAATGCCTCCCAATTGTTCAGCGCAAATCAAACCTTAAAAACAATTTATTTTCATCCCTATAGTGTAGTTACAAAAGTGTGCTCACCAGAGGTGCCTTCTCCGCCTTCAGGGTCCAGGAACAATACACTCTGGGAGGGTGTTGGCTCCAGGGTGAGGAAAAGGTCCTGGCTGCCAGGAAGAACAGATTCTCCGGTTGCCTGCTGCACATTCTCCTCCTTTCTCATCCACAAAATCCTCATCCATGCTGCGTGAGGCTGCCACCTTGCAGATGTCCACGGAGAGTGGTGGGCTACTGATAGGGTCCCCCCATAGAATGGCATGCAGCTGATCATAGAAGCAGCATGTCTGGGGCTGTGACCTGGAGCAACCGTTTGCCTCCTTTGTCTTTTGGTAGGCTTGCCTGAGGTCCTTAACTTTCATACGGCACTGCTGTGTGTCCCTGGTGTAGCCTCTCTCCACCATGCCCTATGCAATTTTGGCATATATGTCATCATTTCTTCTGCTGAATCGGAGTTCTGCCTGCACAGATTCTTCTCCCCATACAGCAATCGGATCCAGTGTCTCCTGTTTGCTCCATGCTGGAGCTCGTTTGCAATTCTGGGACTGCATGGTCACCTGTTCTGCTGAGCTCGCTACACTGACCAAACAGGAAATGAAATTCAAAAGTTCCCGGTGCTTTTCCTGTGTACCTGGCTAGTGCATCGGAGTTGAAAGTGCTGTCCAGAGGGGTCACATTGGAGCACTCTGGGATAGCTCCCGGAGGCCAATACCATTGAATTGCACAGCACTATGTCTGCAGTACCCCAAACTGGACCCAGGAAGGTCGATTTTAGCGTTACTCCCTTCATTGAGGAGGAGTACAGCAGTCGATTTTAAGAGCCCTTTAGGTCAGCGGAATGGGGTTGGTTGTGTTGACGCATTCATTATAAAATCGACCTAACGCAGCTAAATTCGACCTCACCTCATAGTGTAGACCAGGCCTTAGAGTAGACTGTTTTAACACTTTTAAAATTGTGTTAGGGGGTTATGTAACCAAAACTTCCCTTTTGTTTTAAAGGTGTGAAACTCTACATTTGGGGTTTGTCTTCACTGGGATTAAAAGTTTGTTGTTGTTTTTGTTTTTAAGTGGTAGCTGGTAGGGACTTGTTAAGGCTGATTTCCCACTCTGGCACTACGACTGCAGAGGTGGGGGCCTGCAAGGACTCTAAAAATTAATACTGGCCACTCCAGGCTTGTATTAAACTTCTAAGGTTACAGCTTTTTTCTGACCTTGGATTGGTAGATGCTGCCACCACCCAAGTGCAAAACCTCTTTGAGAACCCAGGAAGGTGCACTTGGGAATTCCTTCCTGTGGGGTACCCTCAAGCCCTTTCACGGCCACGGCCACTACTCCTGCCTGGGGAAGAGCTGAGGAAGGGGGGTGGGGGGAAGGAAGTCAGTCAGCTGTTGCAACCAGCTAATTTAAAGAACATGTGCACAAACCTCTTAAGACACACAAATTCAATTCTGTTCTTAAAAAAAAAAGAAAATACATTTGGGAACTTATGCATTTGCTAGATTTAAAAAATAAACTACAAGGGTTAAGCATCAAGAATAACTTTCTTGAGGTCCAGCTTAAAGGTTACAAGCAAAACAAAAGCATCTGGGGCTAGCACAGAAGAGTCCACAAGCCATAAAGAAATAAAAAGAGAGAAACCTAATTGCATCTTCCTAGACATTTCCTGATCTGCTTACATATCTGGGGTTTCAAATGCGTAGTTTCTAGTTATGATACCGATAATATTCTATACCTGGCCCCAAGCTTCTTACAGTATTTGCAGCCCTGTCTACCTTTCTCTGGAGAACAACCACAAACAGACAAAAGGGGGGAGTCTTGTTTCACTTTTAAAAAGTTTTAGCCTTCCCGTTGGCTCTTTTGGCCAGGTGCCCACTCAATTCCTTTTACCTATGCATATCAGTGAGACTTTTTAACCCTTTACAGCCGGGGTGGCCAACCTGTGGCTCTGGAGCCACATGCGGCTCTTCAGAAGTTAATATGCGGCTCCTTGTATAGGCACCGACTCCGGGGCTGGAGCTACAGGCACCAACTTTCCAATGGGCCAGGGGGTGCTCACTGCTCAACTCCTGGCTCTGCCACAGGCCCTGCCCCCCACTCCACCCCTTCCCCTGAGCCTGCAGTGCCCTCGCTCCTCTCCCTCCCCCCTAGAGCCTCCTGCACACCACCAAACAGCTGATCAGGAGGTGTGGGGAGGGAGAGGGAGGCTCTGGTGGGCGGGAGGTGCTGGGAGCAGGGGGAGCTAATGCGGGGACTGCTGACCTATTACTCTGGCTCCTTCTCAAGCTCAGGTTGGCCACCCCTGATTTACAGGTAGAGTAATTAGAGAACAGCTACTAAGAGGGATTTTATAGCTACTGGCTGGCTGGGTGCCCATAAAAGGGAGCTACCCCACACCCTCCTTCATTTATCACAGAACTATTGGGTGAAAACGCTGGTTTATTTCAAAAGGGTGAGACCATAGGTGACCCAGCTGGAGGGATAAGTCACAAGGTGAATGGAGACCACTAAAGCATGAAACTGTGCAGCACCGCTCTTAGCCCCAATGAGGTGCTCCAACTGTTCAATCACTTTGCTACTCTATGGTCTTAGTATGTTAGATAACACCGGTTAAAAATACTTCCTAACCTAGTGAAGACTTAACCTTGGGGTTGAGTTACCGACGAACTACCATGATTGGTAGCTAACTTGATTTTAAAGCACCCTTTTTGTCGTCTAGACAGACCCTTAGAAGCCTTGAAAATACCATTTCCTACTTGTTACTCTTGGCCTTTCTTCCCTTTTAAGTATTGGGTTCTCCTGCTCCTTTCTCTTATTGTGCGTATTTCTAATGTGTCGGAAATAAACATGGCTCAATTTAATTTTCATTGCTGTTTATACATCAGCCCCTTCAATGACTCCTTCCATGATGCCAGCAGGAATGTATTCCGCTTTAGGAATATGAGTTAATTGCTGCTGCTCTCACATGGCTTTTGGTGGATCCTACAAAAATGGTGGCTTTTTAAAATGTCCTGGCATTAGAGTGGGAGAGAGTTACATATTAGTCACTGGATAGCGATGGTGATAGCCATGGGTTATGTCCGGACTTTCGTTAGAATTACCTGTGTTCACATGCTCATTCCCTTCTGAAACAATTTCCTCTGGGGGCATCTCAGCCCCAGAAGTGAATTTCTTCTGACATTTTGAGTAAAGTCCCTTTAGCTGTCTTTTGAGTTACTAGAGTGTGAAAAAATACTCTGATGTTTTAAGGCTTTTTTATGCTTAGCAACTCAGATGAATAAAGCAGCTCCAGATTTTGCAGGAAAATGGCCTGTGTTAAAGAGCAGGCTTTCTGTTAGGTTTGTGAAGAAATTGTTAAATTAAATTTATAAGTGACTGAAAAATAACTTTTGTGCAAGTTTATTTGGCATCTATTTAAATGGAGTCTAAAATATACTATGAAGTCCTTTTGGCAGTTTTCTAGCTGAAAGGGTGATTGTTAGGTTTAGATGGGTTGGAATTGATCAGCATTTTATATCCGTGGGCTTCAGCTCGAGGTTGGCCAACTTGGGGATCTGTATGTACCAGATGGCTGTTCCTCAATTCATTCCCTGTCCAGAAATGTCAGGGAGCTGATACTCTCATTCTTTGTCTAAACTGATATCCCATTTGTTTTCCCCCTTAGCTCAGCAATGTGGGCTACATCACTAAATTTCTTCACAGCTTGTTTTTAAAGTGCCTGGAGATGTCTTGACAGGGTAAAGAGCTATAAAAGCTAAAGCTGCTGCTGCTGTTTGTTGGGTACATTAACAGAAACTGTTGGGAGTTGTATGTCTAATTGGTCATGGCTGAGAATGTTTTAGCTTAACTGATTTGAGATGTTGGAGCATGGAATTGTTTGGTTATTGATTTCAAATTCCTTACAGAATCTGCTGAGGTCAGAAAGGGTGCTGAGTGTTCAGCTGGCTCACCTGCTTCTAATTTGTTTTTCAGTTTTGGAAACCCCTCCCTGGATGAGAGAAGCATCCTCGCTCCTCTTTATCAGTGCTGCATGTAAGTAAGTCACGGAGAAGCCATTGAGTTTACTTGTACACAATTGCCAAATCTAAATCAGGAGCACACTGAAATTCATAGCAATGATGCCCTCTGACAGCCTGGAGACGTGCAAGTTATACACAGAACACGTTTAAGTCACTGGTTCAAATTTACCTTTAATCCGTAATGACAAGTAGCTTCCATCTGCAGCTGTTCAGTGGCTTTTCTGAAATGAGCTGGTCTCTGGCCAGTTCCTGCTGGACAGATGTTTGCATCACCATTGGAACTCTCACTGACAGAAGCCAAGGATTGGATAGGCATGGCAACTAAACCACCCTCATTCCTGATGTCCCTTCTGAGGGCTGTGGTACAATTGCAAGGCAGTGTGTGGAAGCTTGCTCTGCTGCTACCTGTGCGGTTCTTGCTTTGTGTTATATGGAGGACTTGAGCTTTCAAAACTGCTAGTCATTGTGCTGTGTAGAAGGAAGGGTGTTCTCTGTCTGTGAGGCCTTTTTCTTGTCCCTTGTCTGTACATGCATCCACGTTCTTCAGGGTATCCATTGACTCCTTAGAGCAGAGGGCATTGTCTGGGATTCTCTGTTCACTGTCCCACTCTGAATCCCTCATTTTGTCCCTGCGACTTGCACCCCCATCCTGCTGTCTTCTTTTTTTTGTCTCCTGCAATCTGTTGATTTCTGGGTTCCGTGGTCCCATGCTTACCTGAGGGGACAAGCCTTTCTTTGCTTTTGTGGGCTCTGCTCTTCATGTCCAATTAACAAATAGGCTATATGTTGCATGAGCACTTAAAAAAACGAAACAAACTAAAAACAAACAAAGGAAATCGGTGCAGTAGTTTGCATGACTGTGCTACATCAGGGCAACGCAAACGGAGAAATGAAAATCACTTCACTTTTTAAAATAGGCCAGTCTATTGAGAGTTCCTTGAGCTGCCCCTCAAGCATTCAGTTTGTCTCCTGAATTCTTCAGAGTCTCTGGAAACCAGGAGCTTTGCAGAGTATGGAAGCTTAGCTCCTCAGGCTGCAAGTACAGCCAATACAGCCCCCTATATACTACGGCACATTTGACCTACGTTCTTTTGTAACACCTCTGGTTTCTGTAGCACACTAAAGTCTGCAGAAAACTGACATTTCAACAGCAGCATGAAATAAGTAAATAGAAACGCTTTAAAAAAATGATTAAAAATTTCCTTAGCTTTCCCTAGTAATTTTTTAAAATGTTTTCTTTTTCTTGTTTTGTGTGGCTCCTTTGGAGTCTGTGTCCTCTGCTTCAAGTTCCTCCAAACACAGTCCTAAAGGAGAGGTTTCCAGAGGCAGTTCCCCTTCCATCTTTGCAGAAGATTGAACAGCTCCCTGCTCTTCTGGTCTTCATTCTCACTGAGCCCAGGTGGTCCATGGACAGCTCACACCTCTAGGCAGGGAAGCCTGTAAACAGAATGTTCTATGGTAGCCATGTGAATGTGCTAAAATCTGTTGCAATTATTTTGACTACAGAATTCACAGCTTCCCCTGGGGATAGGGAGTACCCTGTAACATGGGTGTCACCACCCTCCCCTAACACTCTGTGACAATGATGCATGCCAAAGGGAGCTACCTGAGTCAGGACATCAGCTCTGGCAAATTGCTACAACATGGCAACTTTGATGGGAGGATTCCCCGGAGATTCCCCAGAAGAAAACAGTTCAAATGTGATAGTGTGAAAAGATTAAATGGCAAAGTAGAAAGAACATTGCTATGTACATTGACTTGGTAGGGAAGGTTAATCATCTGACTCTTTTCTCATCCATGACTGATTGATTGATTGATTTGATGAAGTTCTGACAGAAGTAATGCTGAGCTCCCTACAAGTATTGTTTTGGGTTAGCAGACAGACCTCTCACTCTGTTCCCTTCTCCAGCTCTGGGAGGCCTTCAGATTGTCCTAGCTCCGCTCTTCCTGTCAGCTTTCAGGAGTTTTCATGGAGCAATTCTTAGAAGAATCGCAACATATTAGATCACTTTCCCTTCACCTGCTACCAACAATTTAGGTCTTGATTATATTAGTTACAATATATTTGGGAAGGGAGAGAGACCCAGTTCTAATTTGCTTCCCATCTGTGTAGGCATAACCATGTTGTAACTGGACTCCTCAATGGGGCAGCTGTATGGTAGCTGTATGGGACCTTAGACTAGAAATCCTGTGTGCACTAGTATGATGTGTGCTCATCTTTCTTTTCCAGCATCCGAGTTTCCACCTGGAACAGACTGAACTACCTGAAGAATGGAGTGCTGAAGTCTGCCTTAAAGACTGCCATGTCTCATGACCCCATCTCACCAGTGCTCTCCGACCCTCACTTGGATGCCATGGACCAGCGGCTCCTGAGCATCCTGGCTACAGTGAAACAGTGCACAGACCAGTTTGGTCCAGACATTGTACTGGTGGAAGACAGGATGACACTCTCCCATTTGTAACTTTCATGGAAAACAGATGAAACTCCCTTTTTTTAAAAAACAAATGATAGAAAAACAGCACAATCGGTTCTGAATGGCTATGCCCAGGATGGACTGGAAATGAATGGAAAAGCTCCTGAGCCAGGGGAAAAGGTGGTGGTGGTCTTCATCTTTGGCTGACAGCTGCTAGAGAAGGTGGAGAGTTTGGGAGCCCTTGGACAGCCCTGTAGCCACAGTGGCAGCTTCGCCGTCGTGGTGTGTCCATTGCTGGCAGTGGACATTGCACTGGGAAAACACAACTGCTGGTGTTAATGAGAAAGAGAGTGGAATTCAACAGGAATATGTGGGCTGGTTCTAGAGGGGACAATGGAGATGGAACATTACAGTCCTCTCCCCTTTCTCTTTCCCCAGCCACCCACTCTTAATATGCTCTTGTGAGGTTTTAGTCCAATTCAGAGTTGTATATAATCAGCTGTGAGCTGGTTAGGTATTTTTTTGCCTCCTTTAAAAAAAGAGGAAGTGGTAAATAAAATAATTTAGTGCCCCCTGCTGGGGTAGAATGTCCTTGCGAACACCAATGGGGTGGGAGATGGTGTGTCTGCTGCTCAGCTGTGTTCTCGTTAATAAGATGCTGGGAAGAGGGATCTGCTTCATATGTGATGATGCTTCAATGTTATCACTGAAGTGCTAGTGAAAATTCATCCATGCAATTGGAAGTTGAGGAGATGACGACCAGCTTTTTTTTACAGCACTAAGATCCATCCAATAGCTGATGATTAATATCTGTTCCCCAAGAAATTACTACATGGACCAACACTACTTTCTGTACATAGGGAATATAGCAGAGCAGATATCCCCATGAATCTATGTCCATATTAACCAAATTATCTTTGTATTATAGCTGAGAAGCAGGATAAAATCTGTTCTCAGAGCAGATTCCACTTAGCCAGATCATTTTTCTTATAGTAGGCCCTATAAATGGGGGTGAGCAGAGTATGTAAGACAAACTAGGAACAGGCTTCTTGCTGACCTACACAGATAGCCAACAGCTGTGAACAAAGAGCCTAAGGATTACAGAAAGTATTGGCTGCTCTGCCTATGGCATGGAAGGGCTTACTCCCCACCCTCTGAATGGCAATCACAGTTCTCGGTGCTGTTGTTTTTGTAGAAGACCAGACATTGACTTTTGTGGTGGAACTCTTAAACTGAGCAACTTCAGTTGGCCTCCTTCCTTTTCCCAGCTGCTGTGATATACTGATTCTCTGGTGGTTGTCTTGGAATTCTACCTTGTATTAATTTGAGGGGCATTTTTTCATGGCAAACTTGATGCTCATAAAAAAATATGTGCTGTCTATAAGAGGGTATGATGGAGGAGTGCTATGCACATGTTCCTGTGCATTTGTCAATGTATCTCAATTTTGATTTGTAGCTCTCCTCTTCTGTTGGTCCTGTGTCATCCTCTAGCAGAGATTTCAAACTGTTATAGACTAGCTTGAGGCCACAAAACTCATCGTTTATGATAAATTGGTTATTTAAATCCATGGCTCCAGAAACAAAAGAGGATTTTTTCACTACACTCCCACATCTACTGGCGTTGCATCAGTTTGATGTGTGTAGCTAATATGGTACACAAAAGGATGAATAATCTTACTCAAGCTTCCTCCTAGAAATAGCAGGGTTGGGGGAATGCTTTTGTACGCACTACTTTAGATGATATAAGACGAAGTGCAGCAAGTTGATCTCCATTTCTGTGCTTCCCTGGCCTCCTACGATTTAAGTTTATTTCTTTGTTTAAATCTGTTCTAATTGCAGGCTTAGGAATCTCTTTGGCTCTGCCATGGTGTAGCTGGCAGTTGGAGATTGTCCTTTCTGTTGAAGGTGTTTAATCCTTCTGAAATGCAACGAGGTAGAATGGAAATAAAAAGTAACTCAGTGTTCTAGCTGTTGCACCTGCTGCCATAGCCAATCTAGCAGGTATAAGTGGAGGAGATTACCTTGAAAATGCAATTGGTTTTACACAACCTGTCCTGAGGAACTGTAGAGGCTGTTAATAATAGGCTAATGCCTGATGACGCTTATCACCTCACGGGAGCTGGGCTTACATCCTGATTAGAGCATAAGTGAAAGAGTCTGGTTTTGTTCTAGTTCCCCTCTGGGCCATCATCCATGTCACAAACCTGCTACACATTAGGACTGGAATAGTAGCAGGTGCTACAGGAAAGGACTGAAGTGCATTGACAGCTGAGAGAGAATTTTGTATAATCCTTGTTGGCAGTATACCTGACTTTAAACTAGTGCCTATCAGTCCAGTTTCACAAGCACTGAATTCGCTTTTCAAAGGCAAACTTCATTTGGTCAGTGAGTTCTTTCCTACTATGTGTGAATTGTTCTTCCTGGCTTCCATCAGAGCAGAAATGCTTCAGCATGAACTAGCTTATTGTGAGTGTGCCTGGGGAGTGTTGGCTCTTTTCTCCATCTTTGAGAGCCCTCTTCTGCCACCCTCATTCATCCCAAGTATTCTGTGGTGGTCTTACTGATTTCAGTGGGGCTACTTATGGAGTAAGGTACTACTTGGAATGAGTGAGGGTAGCAGAATTAAGCTTTGTTGGTGTGCATTGGCATTAAATATTTACTATGAAACTGAAGATAACTTATTCAAGGAGGAGAGAAGAATAATGGTGTGGCATGCATGATCTCACAAGTCTCTTCTTCCCCTCTGTTTTGAAGCATAGGCCATGACATTTGATGGTGCGGGAAGAGTCAAATATGTTTGGGATTTTATTTACAGTTGCTCATTTGCATTTGGTGGTGGGTTTTTGTTTAAAATTATGATCTTGCCATGAAATGAAATTGGTGTAAAGAGCTTTCAGTTTGCTTTCTCTCTGGCTTCCAGAGCTTGCAGTGAGTTGAGATTTACTAGCCTGCTTTCCCACACTGTGACTGTCAGAGAATTAAAGCACTGCATCTTGGTTAACAATAAATGGAAAAGGGGTGAATAGGCAACTTTGGAGGAGGGTGGAAGCAGGAAATACAGGGATGTTATGACATGTTACCTGTGAAGGTGTTTGGAAGAGCCTGCTCCGGGCTGGGCATGAGGGTAACAGAGAGAAACACTGTGTCGTTTTTTACCTAAAGCTAGGCTTCCCCAAAGTAGAAATAAAAATTACATCCTTATGCCAGTGGGGTCTGTCTTGTACCTTTAAAAATTGGCATCCCTCATTTGTAAGAGATGCTAGGCTTTGTCATTGAGATTTTCATGATGCCCTCTTATTCCAGTTGTCACAGTCTAAAGATGCACATGCAGTACGTGATTGGCCCCAGATGTTACAAAGATAATCATTCTGGGGGTATTAATAGTCACGGTGCAGAAATCAAGAACTAATTAAGTCGAGCTTCATTAGCCCACCGTTGTTTATCTCCTGCCTGAGTCGACAAACAGAGTGGAGGAAACACTCTAATTTGCTCTTCTGTCGGCATGTAATGAACTGGAGTGTGTCTTGCCAAACAAACTTCAATCAAAAAATAATAATTTATTAAGATAACTTATTTGATGTGGCAGCTGGAGCTGGACGCGAACACCTGTCTTGGAGCTGCCAGAGGATTGCCCCGGGGAGCAGCTGCACAAATGAAGGTTGTTAGTAAGAAGAGAAAACAAATTCAATCCTGACTTTCTATTTGTGTTCCCCAGGGTCAGACTCTGCATAAAGAAGCATTATGTGAATAAAAATTTTAATAAAACATCGATGGATTGTTTAAGTCTCTCTTGCTCTGGTTTCCCAACACACAATGGCTTAAACTTTCAGTGTTGTGCTACTATATTTGGTGGAAGTTTCTTCAATAGTGGGTGCTGGCAGTGCATTTTCAAGAGGGGGCCAGGTGGAATGTGTTTGCAAAATAGCTGTTCAGGTTAGGAGAGGCATGACCAAGAAAATGAATCTGCAATGGACTCATCAAAGGAATGCACTGTGTTCAAGTGGTCTCCCGAATGCAAATGTTTTGGCATTAGAAAATGCACCCCAAGGGTCTGCACCAGGAGAGGAGCAATTGTTCTGTGTTGCATAAGTAGACCAGTACACACAGCAGTCAGCGACACATGCGTTAAATTGGCAGCTATTTATTGCTGGCTCGCAACTCCTATTGTGGCTGGAAGCCCTTCTCAGAGAGGAAGTAGAGAGAGAGGCAGGAAAATCCCTTGTCTCCCCAAGGCTCGGACTTAGTGTGCCCAGATCGTGAGTTAGCTTCCTGGATTACCCCACAGTATCAAGTTTTTCAAAGGTACAAGTGTGACATGCACAATTCTAAAAGTTTGAGAGTTATATGGAGATCTGGAGGGAAATGCACAGGAAGCATGTTCTACTTGTGAGATCTACAGGGACCACAGCAGTGGGATTCCTGGAGTCAGGCACCTATCAGAACCCTCTCAAATGCAATGTAGTTGTTGACCCTGGGTTGCATTTGGGACCTTTGACTTGACCTGTGATGCCACATCCATGTCAGCCTGCAAACAAGGACGCCTGCTTTCGATAAACTAAAATGCACCAACACAAACTCAGACTCTGCTGCCAATTTTCACAACTTTGAACTTTACACCCACTTCTTTCTGCTCCTTTGCATCGTGTAACAACAGTATCCGTTTATATCCATCTCCACTGTTTTAGGTGCCTGTTTCTCTCCCCCCTCACCCCTGGGAAAGAAAGGACCCTTGCTGCTTTTCACCAGTTCAGCAACTCACAGAAACTACAAGAGCTGTTAGGGATTTTTCTAATTAAAACCTTACATTGAAGTATAACCTTTCCTTTAAACTTCTTTTGTAAAAACTTTTCTCAATTTTTTCCATTTTTCAATATTTGGCAAAGCTTAAATTAAAAAAGTTTTTAGGCTGTTTTGAAAACTGCTGCTTCAGTTTTTTTGTTGTGTTGCTGCTGTGTAGCTGTATCCATCTGGCTGTTGATAAATTAAGTGTATGCAGTGGTGGTGTAGCCATATTGGTCCCAGGCTATTAGACAGACAAGGTGGGTCAGGGAATATCTTTTATTGGACCAGCTTTTGTTGGTGAGAGAGACACCAGCTTTTCAGCTTACAGACCTGAAGAAGATCATCTTGTGTGTCTGATAAATTAAAGGAAATACAAGTTGTACCAAAGCCAGACATAGCCAGACTTTTTGGTGGTGTTTTTTTTTTTTTTTTCCTGATGGGAAACATCTGTCTAGTAGGCTTGAACTGAGAGTTCAGTTGTCAATCAGGTGCTTATCATCCTTAGGCCATGTCTACGCTACAGCACTACAGTAGCACAGCTACAGTGCTGCAGTTATGCTGCTGTAGCAACAAAGTGTAGACCCTTCCTACAGCAACACAAAGGGGTTTCCATCGATGTAGGTAATCCACTTCCCCAGATGGTGGGAGCTAGATTTCTTCCATCAGACTAGCCACGTCTACACTAGGGGTTAGGTTGGCTTAACTATAGGGGTCAAGGGTCTGAATTTTTCATAGCTACGTTGATCTAACTTTTTAAGTGTAGACCAGGCCTCAGTTATTTGTCAGGACTACATGTGAATAACCATCTACAGATGAAAATCTCCAAATTGGTGACCAGTCCCGCCCCCCTCAATTGTTTAGGCTAGTGGCTCTCAACCTTTCCAGACTACTATACCCCTTTCAGGAGTCTCATTTGTCTTGGGTACCCCACATTTCACCCCATTTTAAAACTACTTACTTACAAAATCAGACGTAAAAATACAAAGTGTCACAGCCCACTATTACTGAACAATCGCTGACTTTCTCATTTTTACCATATAATTATAAAATAAATAATTTTGAATATAAATACTGTACTTAGATTTCAGTGTACAGTATATAGAGCAATATAAACAAGTCATTGTATGAAATTTTAATTTGTGTTGACTTCGCTAGTGCTTTTTATGTAGCCTCTTGCAAAACTAGGCAAATATTGAGATGAGTTGATGTACCCTCTGGAAGATTTCTGTGTACCCCTGGTTGAGAACCACTGGTTTAGACCCCTGCAGCCATCTATCCTTTAAACTCCCCCTGCCACTCCTCCCCCCAAAAGAACTACTGAAGATTACAGTGGATTATTGAAGTTCAGTCTAAGAAATGCAGAAAAAGCAATAATTCCTTCTGTGTTCTTCTCAAGGGGTTGTCTATTCTTTTCCCACCTGTTTCATAGACTCCGCCCTTGAGAACGACCACCCTTTCCCCCCACCCCCCGCCTCCACCTCTTGTTAATTAAATGAAGTAAGATCACATCTAGGCCAAGTCCCTCTCTGTTCATTGTATTTTAGTGCTATTTTAACAGCATTGTTTTATTTAAAAAAAAAAAAAAAGACAAACTTGCTTTAAGCCCTGCAAATAGAATTGACACTAAAATTGTACTTAAAACCACTGTAACTATAACTTTATTAAAGAGTAAAACATCCTTTGTTTATTAAAATACCAAAAATTATTAAAGTATTAAGCATTAAAAGTAGAAAGCCATTGGCACATGGAGGCTACTTGAGAAGCTATTAGCAGGTGATTAACATAGGGTACATGCAGTGAAACTGTAGCTCAGAACAGCCCTTCTGTTTATATGGAACACCTGGTTATCTGACAGTTTTGGATGTCCCCCAGGCCAGATAAACCAGAGTGTACTGTCCAATATTTAGCATATTGGTCCATCTCTTAACCTGGTTAATAGGCACACAGTCAGCAGGTTGCTGGAAAGCACTCATTATTCTGTTTTCCTTTTAGCTCCTGTGAAATGCAATCCCTCTGCAGCAGCCTGGATTCTGCTGTGATGCCCTGAGCTGGTGACCTATCAGATCTGCCCAGGTACCACGGAACCAGTGTATTGATGGTCAGTTAACCATTTTATTTCTTTCCCCCAGAATTTGCATTTGCAAACTTTCTTTTCCTTTAGAATCTGAAAACTGTGTCCTGGGAATGTTTGTTATTTTTGGTGAGTTCCTTCCCTCTCATGCACGTTTCTCAATCTAAGGTTTTGTCTAGACTCACAGTTACACTAGTTTAATTAAGGGTGTTTTTAAAAGTGATGTAGTTGAGTTGAGGCAGACACTTAAATTAGTTTTAAAATGGCTTATATTGATTTAACTCAATTTGGTAAGGAACTGACTCCAATTAAGTTGATATAAACCAAGTTTAAAATGTGTCCACACAGGGTTTTTGAACTAGTGTAACCAAACCAACATGTTTTAAAACCTATTTTAGTTAAACTAGTTCAACTTTGTGTGTAGAAAAGCCCTAAGTCATAGGTAGGTTAGCTTTAAATCAGTGCATATCATTTTAGGCAGAGGGTTAGAAGTGTTAAGGTTTCATAGATTTTTAAAGCCCAAAGGGACAATTCTTTAGGCTGATCTCCTGTATAACAGGGGAAGTTTTTCTTTCCAACCCCCAGGACAATCCCTGTAGATTGTCAACACAGTTCGTAATATTTGTATCAACCTCTAGATGGCCTTGTATTCAACTGGATGGCTTTCTCGCTTTGGAATTGATCTGGTGTATAACCATCTGAAATGAATGAATTGCCGACCTTATTTAAAAACTGACTGTTGCACTTTTCCATGAGCAATTGGATATGCTTAAAATTCATTCCATCTCAGGCTTTAAGCTATGGAGGGGCAGGAGTGGATGATGGGAAGGACTGGAATATAACAAGTGAACTTGAACTTGTCCTCTCCTGGCCCTCACTAAATATAGGTGCTAGTCTCTCACTTCTCACTTGGCCAGCTGTGTCAGGCAGCATTTGGATTTATAAATGATTGGTTGCTATTCACCGACTCGGTCTCCAGGCTGCATTCCTAACTACACCTTGCTTTTCTCCAATATTAAAGTCTTGCTTTATTTGCAATCCTAGAATCTCCTTTCTGTAACAGCAAAGGCCAGGCTAGCCTTCAGAGAGAGGGTTTACTTGATGGGGGCTCTTTCTACTTGGACTAGCTAAGATTGGGTGTGTTGTGTGGGCTGTCTGTCTATTATACTGTATACCACTGCTCTAGAATGTGCTGGGACAGATGCAGCTAGGAAAGAATGAAGGTAAGGGGCCCCCTCCTCCCAAAATTCATGTTCCCAGCTGCTACCAGGATCTGGCCCTATAATTCTGTAAAGCAGCTGTTAAAGCCTCAGGATCTTATTGCAAACTACTGGGATGCCCCGAGGAGTAAGCGCTAAGATTGCAGAGCATCTCTTCTGGGCAGGGGCGCTATGGGCCGGGTAAATTGGACTCGGCTGTCTTAGATCTAGTGTTGCCCTGGGAACCCCACTGTGGCGAAAGGGGGCAGCTTTTCACCCCACCCCGCGGGGAACCAATGCTAGCCCGAGCAGCAGGGAAGCACAGCGGGGGATACCTCCCGCTGCCCGCATCGTCCCGGCTGGCCGGCCGTCTCTTGGGCTACCCAGCCGCCGTTCCCCTCCCGCGCGGCGAGGTGGAAGCCGCGGCGGCGCTGCCCCGGGGTTTGCAGGAGGGGCCCGGGCCAGCGGGCTGTGAGTGCGGCTTGCACGGGGCTGCAGAGCAGGTGGCCCCGCGGTGCTTATGCGATCGCTCCTGTGCAATCGGCCGAGCCGCGCTGGCTGCGGACGGGCAGCGGCTGGAGGCCTGGCGGAAGCGCGTGGCAGCGGGTCCCCGCTGGGGCGCTCCCTGGGGGCGGCCCGTGCAAGTCCCCAGAGCTCCCCTCGGCCCCGTGGGCGAGCTGGCCCCGCCCCGTCCCCGGCCTGTCCCCCGGCAGCTCGGATGGCCGGGGGCGGGAAGTGAGCTCAGCGCTGGGCGCGCCCGGGCCGTGACCGGCGCTGGGGGAGTCCGGCTCGCCGCCTCCCTCCGGCCATGGCGCGCTGGGCTGGGCTCCCGCTGCTGCTCTGTTGCCTCGGGCCTCTGCTGTGCGGCGCTGCGGGGCGGAGCCGGGCGCCTCGGGAAGCGGAGCCGGGCGCCGCCGCGCCGGGGCTGCCGCCGGGCAGGGCCGGGAGCGACCTCTCCGGGCAGTACTGGCGGTACCTGGCCTGCCGGCTGTGGCGGGAAGGCTGCGAGCAGCCGCAGGAAGAGGGCAGCCGGGAGTCGCAGGGTGAGGAGCTGCCTCGTCTCCCTGCCCTAGATCGGGCAGGCCGCGTGGGGCGTTCAGTGCACGGCCCCTCGCCCTGCCACGGGCCGCAGGGGGGTGGAGCTGCCTGCGGGGCGATCTTTGGGCTAGCGGGATGTCTCTGTCAATGCCGGGGGAGAGAAGGGGCTGCAGGGGAGCTACGTGCCCGGACCCTTCGCTGGCATCAGTCCCATCCCATCACACCCCCTTACAGCAGCTGAGGATCTGGGCCAGGGTCTTTTTATGTTCCCACAGTTAATAAGAGGTGCAGTGATCTGTTGTGCAAATGCCCGTGTCTCCAGGTAGCTGTGCATGTAAGATATAGAGGGACAGGCTTCTTTTGTGTGTGTTTCCTGTTTAATTCCTGTAGCTGTCAGTCACATGTGAGGTTTCAGAGTAACAGCCGTGTTAGTCTGTATTCGCAAAAAGAAAAGGAGTACTTGTGGCACCTTAGAGACTAACCAATTTATTTGAGCATGAGCTTTCGTGAGTCACATGTGAGTTTTCATTGCTGTCTTCTGTACCCCTCAGCACAACCAGAGTGGGGACGCCTGAGCCAGGCTGCTAAGTTGGATTCATTTGTATGGGATCTTAGAGGGTTGCATCCAAGCCAAGAGGCATCCCTTGGGGAGGGGTGGTGTCCCCTCTCCAGCAGGATTAACGATTTCCCGGCCTAAATCCCTAGCATAGGGGGGTGTGATGGGGATCGCCATTTTGACCGAGTGTCCTTCCCAGATGTATGTGTGTGTGTGTGTGTCATTTGAGTGACTGCCTGTCTACCCACGTCAGTTCCCTCCCCCCCCATTGCTGTGCTGTGGATATGGACATTGGTGCTGTTGATAAGTTGATAGGAGCTCTAGCATGGGTCTGTGGGGAATTCAAGGCTGATAGGGCAAGGTTTATCCTCAGGAGGCAGACAGCCTGCCATACAATTTCCTTTCTCACTGCTGCCTCTTTCCTAGGTTGGAGCTTGCCTCTGGTAGGTCAGGATTATCTGGAGATCCTTTCTAGCTGGTACTGCAGCTTTGGAAAGTGCTGTGAGACAGGAGACTGCAGAATAGCCAACAACATCACAGGTAAAGCCCTTGAGATAGAGAATGGTCCACAGTTTAAGGTGCTAGTCTGGGACTTAGGAGAGCCAGGTTCAGTTCCCTGCTCTGCTATGACTCCCTGTGTAACCTTGGGCAAGTCTCTGTGCCTCAGTTTTTCATCTGTATAATGGGGATGTCAGTATCGCCTGGCCTTAAGTACATTAAAGATTATGAGGTGCTCAGATGCAGTGGGAATGGAGGCCAGAGAAGTACCAAAGAGGCAGAATGTGTGTGCATGTTTCCCTATCAGCTGGAGTGAAATCTCTAATTCCCAGTTCCTAGAACTAAGGGCAAACCTCTGTGAGGTTGTTTTAATTCTTAAATCAAATTTTTGGTCACAAAGAAGTTAAAGAGAAGTAGCAGTTCTTAGCCAGGTGCTGAATTTGCCTCAATGTTCCGTGAGTTTAGACAATTCCATTTCAGACCATTTTTTATTCCGTGACACACAGACCCTCCTTTACCCCATGACAAAATCTTAGCATCACTATGCAGAGTGCTTTCCAGAGCAGAGACCCTGCCTGTTCCTGCCTGTAGTCTCCTGCACACCCAGAGCACGTGGAAGGGGGAATAAGAACTTGCTCAGAGGGGGCTGCTAAGCCCCATCCCCTTCTCCCGGTCCTGACCTAGAGGGTAGATACTGAGCCCTGTATGCAGTCCATGTGAAAATGTCCTAAGGTGTGACTGGGTCTGGGACTTCGGTAATCAGTGCAAACTGTGATTGATTGATTGATACTTTGTCCTTCTCTAGGGGCTTCCATCTGGGGATCTTAGTGCCTTTTTGCAAACGTTAATGAAATAAATACCCTGTGAAATGGGTAAATACTATCCCCGTTTTCCAGAGGGGGAAAAGAGAGGATAAGTGGCTTGCCTGGGTCCATGGCAAAGATGTGAATAGAGCCCAAGAATCCCGATTTCCACTACTGTGATCAGATCACTCAAAATGCTGCTTTCCAATCTAGCTCTGCATTTGTAATACCACGGCACAGGGACCCCTTGAACAGGCATACCTTCCAGCAATGCAAGGCAGAATGCCTCATGCTCTGATGGGCTCAACTCAGAACAAAATTGCTGCCAAACGTCCTCCCTGCTTGTTCCTACCCATAAGTGATAGCAGACAGGTTTGGGTGTAAGATCAGTGTTTCCTTTCGTTCTGCAGGGTTAGAGATGGACTTGAGCAGGAGGCTACATGGGCAGCACTTGGCAAAGGACGTCGTTCTGAGAGCAATGCAAGGCTTCCTGGAGACCACACAGCCGGAGAAGGCTCTGGCTCTGTCGTTCCATGGCTGGTCTGGCACTGGGAAAAACTTTGTGGCCCGGATGATCGCTGATCACTTGTACCGAGACGGGCTGAAAAGCGAGTGTGTTAAAGTCTTTATATCGCTCTTTCACTTCCCACATCCCAAATATGTGGACTTGTACAAGGTGCGAAAACTCCAGAGTTACCAGCCACAATGGTGCTGGTTGTAGTATGGGTAACTCAGTCCTAGCCTCTTCAATCCAGTCAAAGGGCCGTTTCTGAATATGTAACTATCTCAGACACCGCTGTTAATAGAGGATAGAGCAGGAGCACAGGCTGTTGGAGGAGCCCTGTAACAATGTACAAAGTATCAAGTACAAAGTTCCAACCCTTCCCAGCAGGGGCCACCGGCTGTGGGAGAGCCCAATGCCACTCCAATACTGGCCCCTCCCAGAAGGCCAGTATGAAAACTGGTGTGTAATGATTAGTTGTTGGTGAGCTCTCAGCTGCTGGGACCATTGCAGGGAATGGTGCAGGAGCACTTGCAGTAGAGGAGCTCCCAACCTTTCCCAGTGGGAGTCATGATAGAGAATGGAGCAGCGGGTTGGGTGCTGGCTGTGAGGGAGCTCAGTCTTCCTTGGTAGCTGTGTCTGTGTGAAGGATGCAGTAGTGCTAGTGGTGAACACCAGGTGATCTACCCACAGGCTTCTCTACTTGCCAGTTCACACTCTTTTCCTACTGCCATGCAGGTTCAGCTGAAGAAGCAGATAAGCGAGACAGTGCAGCTCTGCAAGCAGTCATTGTTCATCTTCGATGAGACAGAGAAGCTTCACTCTGGCCTGCTGGATGCCATCAAACCCTATGTGGATCACTATGACAGCATCAATGAGGTGGATTACAGGAGATCCATTTTCCTCTTCCTCAGGTGACTACCAAGGACCTTAGGGAGAAGGGGCTGGCTTGCAGGGAAGGATCTGCTTTCGGATTCTTGATGACCCATATTCTTGATGACCCATCCTTGATGACCAAGGTTCTTGATGACCCATATTAAAGTTCCGTGATCTGGGAGATTGAGGTGTGGGACGGAGCTGCCCTTGGAAGGCACAGGAATTGAAGGGAAAGTAGTTCTCTGGATTCTCCTTGTGTGATGACCTCAAAGCCCCCTCACTACAGTTGCTCACCCATGACTCATGATGGCTGAATGTAACTGTCTCTCCAGAGACCATCAGTGTAACTCCTTAGCCGCCATGTGCTGCTGACTGTGAGGCTGAATGTCTGCAACCCCCAGGAGTTGAACCCTGGATCCGGCACTGTATTAGTAGCACCATGCCAGTGAGCTATATCTTAGGAATCAAACTGTTGCCCCACTCAGATGGTGTAGCCCAGAAATCTGGGCAAGCATTGCACAGTTAATAGAGAAGTGATGAGAGATGTTTACCTTCCACTTGAGCATCTGCTGCTGGCCACTGATGGAGGCTGGATATACTAAACTAGGCCATTAGTCTGCTGTGGTATGGCAGGTCCCATGAGCTCTACTTGATTCTGATGTTTATAGGCCTGGGCTTTTCTCTCCACCTGATCCCAGCTGGGTTTATCTGCTTATGACCTGGCATGGCATTTTCAGAACTCTCCCCCCTCCCTATGAATAGGCCTCTGAACCCTTGATCAGTCTGTTTGCGGAGAGGAAACTGGAACTTAGCCCAAGGATGGAGGGGCTACCTTGCGCTTGTGGTCATGTACTGTTGGCCACTCTCCCTGCCACGCTGAGGGGAACCTTGAACAACATGTGATCCCAAGTGCTGTGGGAAGGGGGGCAGCAGGGCCCCTCTGTGACGCTGCCATCTGGAAAGGCAGGCTCTCCTCTGGGCTGTGCATGCAGAAACACTGGCTTTGCAGGTCTGTCATTTAGAAACCAGACTGCTCTTGGAGATGTCATTGGAACCTTTGCCACACTGGGTCCTCCCCTTATGGGGATGGCTGTGTCTCTGTGAAGCAGAAGGAGTTTCTTTCCTGTTGACTCCAGTGGAAAGGTGGGAGCTGCAGCTTCCAGGACAGAGCTAACTAAAATTTGAAGGGGATCTGGGGTACCAGGAGTAGGTTGTTCAGAACTAACAGCTGGGCAATGAGGTGGGGGAGGAAGACTTTTAGTCTCATCCTTCCCTCCACTCCCATCCTGACTACGAGTTTGTCCCCTCCATCATCAGAGATGGCTCAAGAACCCCCTGGAGAAGGGAGGGGGGAGTTTCAGTGTGTCCACCAGTCCTACTCTTTTCTGTCTTCCTCCCCAATTCCTAACCCCTTTGTACAGGCTAAGTGCTTGGGAGGGGCCCAAGCAGCTTTTGTCCTGGGCTCTCTGCCAAGTGACCATCACCCCCCCCCCCTCTCCCACACACACACATCCCCACACACACCTTAAGGTGTGGGGGGGGGGCTGACACCACACTAGCTGGTGCAACTCCCTCACCAGGGCTGATGCTGTTTCCAGGCCATTCTGACTGGGATAATTTTGTCTGAGGTTTGGAAGCTTCAGTGCCCGCCTTCCCCCTTTCAATGCACATGTGCGCTTAGAGAAACAAGCGTTTTAAAAAGTGGCCCCAGTGTGTGAGTTCCAGCTGCCCTTCCCCTTACGAAGCACTAGTCAGTCAGGCAAGGACCCCAGTGTGGGTTCTCTGCCACCTTCATGATCTTCCCGCTCCACTTTGTGTGGAAGAAAAAGTGCTGTCTGGACCATTGCTTCTAGCAGGACTCATGCCAGTTTCCCTGCCCTTTGCTAACTTGTCTGCAACTGCGGGCTTCTCTGCAGAAGGGGCTCGGAGGTAAAGGGGCTGTAGTCAATATGTTCTGTACTCTTGGTTCAGTGTGTGTAACAATCTGGGAGGGTGGGGCCTACCCCTAAGAATCAGGCCTGGGGAATGGAAACAGCTGATCTGGTGAAAAAGTGTTCAGTTCTCTTTGCAGAGGGGAGAGAAAGCAAATCCCTCTCTAGGGCCAGTGGAAAGGCAGAGCTTTGGCGTGGGGCTACATGAGTCCTTATGCTACCAACGTCTCCGAGGCCTGGACCTGAGTGCTGTTAGTGGTTTGTGATGTATGATTTTGTGAGGAATAAACATTAGGATTATTCCAGATAAAGCATTTAACTTCCATTTCCTTCCCAGTAACATTGGTGGGAACATTATCAACCAGGTGACCCTGGACTTCTGGCGAGCTGGACGGGCCAGGGAGGAGATCACCATGGAATACTTGGAGCAGCACCTGTGCATGGAGCTGCTTGAGTCCACAGGTAACTGAGCTAATCGATACAAGTCTGCACTGGAGTTCTGCAGTCCGCTGCCCCTTCCCATGTCTTTCTGCTCCCTGCCAGCTCCACCCCGGGGACTCATTGTTTTGATTGGCTCTTTCATGGTCCCTCAAAGATTACTGAACACCCCCCACCGCCCCCACCAAAATCTATCTTCACTACATCCCTGGGGAGGTAGGTCAGTGACTTGCTTCACAGTCACGGTGGCAAAGCTGGGGTTTGAACCTAGATATCTTGCGAGAGACCAGTGCCTTAGCCTCTTCTATCTGAGCTACAGCCCCTATTATCACTTATATGGTACTTCTACTCCACTCCCTTTTAACCAGTGTCTCCGCAGCTCAGCCTTAGCCCATGCTATGCTGGCATATCCCAACCAGGTGCCCACAGGATCCTCTTCCCCTTTCACTCTCAAATCCCTACTGATAAGTAATGCCCTGTTGGCTAGCTGGTCTTAAGAGTGGGTGTGCTGACCACTTCCCTAAAACATCATTGATTGCTGTTGGTGGTATCACTAGATGGTTTCAGACATGTTCCCAGAGGTAAAAGTATGTGTCATGTGTGCAATCTATAAATACCTGTCAGATTTCCTAAAAAACAGGATGAGATATGGGGCAGATGGAGCCTCACGATTGCGTGGGCACTTCATTAGTCAAGGTGACTATAGCCACCCTACTCAGGACATGGTGCTGGAGATGGCTCTGCTCAGCACCCAGACCCCACTGCTCAGAGTGAAGAGAGGCCCTGTCTTGAGCCCAGCTACCTGGAGACCAGGACATGCGGGGGCAGTACCAGACCCCCCCCAGCACTCCTTCTGGCAGACTTTTCCATTTGGGTCTCTGTAGTGGCATGCAACTCTGACATCATCATGCAGCAACAGGACCAGGAGTGGCACATGGACTGTGGAGCCACATAATTTCTCATGCAAAAGAGTGAATGTGGCTTCCTACGCGGGGAGTGTTTCATGATTTCTGTGTGTAATTGAAACCAAGAACCTCCCCAACCCACCCCCTTCCTCAAGCTGCTTCTGCATGTGTTAAGGTGCCTCTCTCCCCTGCCCCCCCCCCCCTTGCTGTTGCATGTTTGGGTGAGTAGTGTCAGAGACTCCCTTTTTTCAGGACTGAAGGACCTTTTGTTTCGCCTTAACTCCAAGGCAGAAGAACCAGATAAATGATTAGCCAAGGCCCCTTCTCAGACAATATTTTCAGTGTTGAACCGGCTTCTCCAGGCAAACTGCACTGTTCTTTTAACATTTGTGCTGGCTGAGATTGATGGAGATCTAGGAGCATGGAAGACACACATGGTTCTGTTACAAGCTATGCGTTGAGTGCCCGTGTTGCTCTGGTTTTCATTGCAGATGGTGGCTTTGCCCACAGCCACCTCCTTGAAGAGAACCTCATTGACTTCTTTGTGCCATTCCTGCCCCTGGAGAATCACCATGTGAAGCTGTGTGTTCGGGATGCTTTTCTGGCCCGCAGCCTTCCATACACTGAGGAGGTGCTGGACGAGGTGGTCAGGATGATGGTATTTCTCCCCAAAGAGGAGAAGCTTTTCTCTGCACAAGGTTGTAAATCCGTGGCTCACCGCATCAACTATTTCCTACCCTGACTGTGAGGGGGAACTTTACCAGTGACCAGCATGGCTGCTTGCTGCACGGAGAGACCTGCTCCTCTCGCATGAGCAGATTGAAAATTTACCCACTTGCACAGTGATGGGAACTTTTGAAGTCCCTCAAAACTTGAGAGAGGCCTCCAAGGGTTACTCTCATTGTCATACTTGTATGGCACCTGTGTAGCCTTGAGCTGGTAGAAGGCTGGGCTGGCTGTACCTTTCTTGCCCACTCAAAGGCCCATCTCTTAGCAGTTAGCTTAGAGCAGAAGAAATGATTAGCTGTTGGTAAATGAAGAATTCTGGCTGGCAAATAGTGGTCTACTTCACACAAGCAGAGTTGGTCTGGGACCTTGGTTTATTGTGGTGTGGGGGGTCTTGGGATTGCTTAGTACCTTCAGTTGGAAAGTCTGAAGAGGTCATAGAAGTCACTTCCTTGCTTCCTCTCCTCTGGGCCTCTCCCCCCCATGCATCATTTCCAGCACCTGCAAAGTAAAACAGTGATGGAGAAAAACCTAAACTTGGCTATGGAGCAGAGTGAGAATGTGTGTCCCAGGAACCTTCTTACCAAGCCATCTGTTGTTAACCAGCTATTGGAGAGGATGGCCAGGAGCCTGCACAGATGATGGTACACACAGCTTGAATAGAGACTAGGACTAAGATTCACATCTGCAGCCTCCACCTACTGTGGGCATTCCAGATGTATAACACTGAACTTGCTCTTTGGTGACATTCTCTCATTTGGAGTATGGAAAAATGGTTCCTGACAATTTGTTTAATATAAAGATTAAAAAAACTTTTTTTTAATGTCTAAAGTGAACATCTCTTCAGAACATGCCAACCCTCCCCCTGTCCCCTGCTAGACAGCAAGGTACCAGTGTGTCTGTAATGCTGAGGGAGAGTCTATGAATATGTCTCCAGTACAGCCCAGAAATTCTGTCATGGATAGCATTTGGTGATATGAGCCAGCATCTTCCCCTCACTGAGTCAGCTCCTGCTGGGCACACTCCTCATGCCCAGCTTCCTCAGCATTCAATTCAGGGAGCTCCCAATTGCAGCCTCTTGATTGCGCTGATAAATCAAGAGGACCAGAGTACAGGGGGGCAGACTGTCCTTGTCTTCAGCAGAGTGGCTGTGAAGAAGAACTCTGCCATTTGATTACTGTTACACATTCTGGCTTTTGGCCAGAGATAGTATTACTACAAGAGGGACTGTTTGCTGTCAGGGTACCTGCCAAATGATTAAAAAAAAAAAAAAAAAAAGTCAGCCCTAAAATGTCAATAACAATCACTTACTCCATGGGCTGTAGGTCAAAAAAGTGAAGAGGAGGTGGAGGACACTGTGAGGACAGTTGCCTGGACATTGTACATGTGGCTCTTTGATCTATTTAAACCAGGGATCTCAAACTCAAATCATCAGGAGGGCCACATCACTGACACCATGCTGCCCCCACTCCCTGCCATGGCTCCCTCCTGGAAAGCTGGAAGTGCCTGGAGATAGGCAGAGGAGTGGTAGGTAAGGGGAAATAACTCGGGGGGCATAGGGAGCTTGGCAAGCTGCAGCAAATAACTGTGCAGGCCACATGCCTTAAACTGTACCAATAGTTAGTCCGCCTATGCACTCACTTTGGAAAAACTCTGTAAAAGTTTGTGTAATTGCCATTGAAGTGGATTTTCAGCTAGTATTCCTACCTGGCACACTGGCTTCTAGTTACTGGTAAGTGACCATGCATGGCTATGAAGCTAAATGGGCCACGTGGTTCCTTACTGTTTTTCTTTTGGGTGAGTGATATTTATTGAGCCTGTTGGAGCAGAAAGGGAAAATATGGTGAAAGTTGGTCTGCTCAGGTTGTTACTGTGTCAAAACAGTATAGCGCACTCTCTTGTCCTTCCCAGCTACACCTCACCAGTACACTTTTGTAATTAACTGTAAACTAAGGCTTTAGAAGTTTAAAAGTTTCAATCCTGCCCCTCTTCGGCCTGTGGAATAGAAGGGTCAATGCTGCTAATCATCCTCCAGTGTCTTAGTGGTCACGTATCAGAGGAAGAGTTAGTCACAGCAGTTTTTTCTTCTGTAAAATGGGTACCAAGAGTACTTGCACAAACTCTACTTGACCACATACATCTCCCTACTTGATTTCACTTCATAGAATCATAGAATATCAGGGTTGGAAGGGACCTCAGGAGGTCATCTAGTCCAACCCCCTGCTCAAAGCAGGACCAATCCCCAATTAAATCATCCCAGCCAGGGCTTTGTCAAGCCTGACCTTAAAAACTTCTAAGGAAGGAGATTCTACCACCTCCCTAGGTAACGCATTCCAGTGTTTCACCACTCTCCTACTGAAAAAGTTTTTCCTAATATCCAACCTAAACCTCCCCCACTGCAACTTGAGACCATTACTCCTTGTCCTGTCCTCTTCTACCACTGAGAATAGTCTAGAGCCATCCTCTCTGGAACCACCTCTCAGGTAGTTGAAAGCAGCTATCAAATCCCCCCTCATTCTTCTCTTTTGCAGACTAAACAATCCCAGTTCCCTCATGTGTTCCAGACCCCTAATCATTTTTGTTGCCCTTTGCTGGACTCTCTCCAGTTTATCCACATCCTTCTTGTACTGTGGGGCCCAAAACTGGACACACTACTCCAGATGAGGCCTCACCGATGTCGAATAGAGGGGAACGATCAATATACATCCCAAAATGCCATTGGCTTTCTTGGCAACAAGGGCACACAGCTGACTCGTATCCAGCTTCTCATCCACTGTCACCCCTAGGTCCATTTCCGCAGAACTGCTGCCTAGCCATTCGGTCCCTAGTCTGTAACAGTGCATTGGGTTCTTCTGTCCTAAGTGCAGGCCCCTGCACTTATCCTTGTTGAACCTCAGATTTCTTTTGGCCCAATCCTCCAATTTGTCTAGATCCCTCTGTATCCTAGTCCTGCCCTCCAGCATATCTACCACTCCTCCTAGTTTAGTATCTAGTACTTCAGCGTACCCAAGACTTCAAGAATTACCACCCCAAAGAATAAACCCCATAAAAGCATCAAATCATTAGTTGGTCATGAATTAAGACCAAAAGAAAGCCAGCTCCTCTTCATCAAAGCTTCCTGTTTTTCTCATCTAGGTTAAATTCACATGAAAGGGGAAAACATAAAAAAATCCTGGAACAATCATGGAGCAGGTCCTCAAAGAATCAATCCTGAAGCACTTGCATGAGAGGAAAGTGATCAGGAACAGCCAGCATGGATTCACCAAGGGAAGGGCATGCCTGACTAATCTAATCGCCTTTTATGATGAGATTACTGGTTCTGTGGATGAAGGGAAAGCAGTGGATGTATTGTTTCTTGACTTTAGCAAAGCTTTTGACACAGTCTCCCACAGTATTCTTGTCAGCAAGTTAAGGAAGTATGGGCTGGAAGAATGCACTATAAGGTGGGTAGAAAGCTGGCTAGATTGTTGGGCTCAACGGGTAGTTATCAATGGTTCCATGTCTAGTTGGCAGCCGGTATCAAGTGGAGTGCCCCAGGGGTCGGTCCTGGGGCCGGTTTTGTTCAATATCTTCATAAATGATCTGGAGGATGGTGTGGATTGCACTCTCAGCAAATTTGCGGATGATACTAAACTGGGAGGAGTGGTAGATACGCTGGAGGGGAGGGATAGGATACAGAAGGACCTAGACAAATTGGAGGATTGGGCCAAAAGAAATCTGATGAGGTTCAATAAGGATAAGTGCAGGGTCCTGCACTTAGGACGGAAGAACCCAATGCACAGCTACAGACTAGGGACCAAATGGCTAGGCAGCAGTTCTGCGGAAAAGGACCTAGGGGTGACAGTGGACGAGAAGCTGGATATGAGTCAGCAGTGTGCCCTTGTTGCCAAGAAGGCCAATGGCATTTTGGGATGTATAAGTAGGGGCATAGCGAGCAGATCGAGGGACATGATCGTTCCCCTCTATTCGACATTGGTGAGGCCTCATCTGGAGTACTGTGTCCAGTTTTGGGCCCCACACTTCAAGAAGGATGTGGATAAATTGGAGAGAGTCCAGCGAAGGGCAACAAAAATGATTAGGGGTCTGGAACACATGAGTTATGAGGAGAGGCTGAGGGAGCTGGGATTGTTTAGCCTGCAGAAGAGAAGAATGAGGGGGGATTTGATAGCTGCTTTCAACTACCTGAAAGGGGGTTCCAAAGAGGATGGCTCTAGACTGTTCTCAGTGGTAGCAGATGACAGAACGAGGAGTAATGGTCTCAAGTTGCAGTGGGGGAGGTTTAGATTGGATATTAGGAAAAACTTTTTCACTAAGAGGGTGGTGAAACACTGGAATGCGTTACCTAGGGAGGTGGTAGAATCTCCTTCCTTAGAGGTTTTTAAGGTCAGGCTTGACAAAGCCCTGGCTGGGATGATTTAACTGGGATTTGGTCCTGCTTCGAGCAGGGGGTTGGACTAGATGACCTTCTGGGGTCCCTTCCAACCCTTATATTCTATGATTCTATGATAAGTGGTTTAGATTCAGCTGTAGTATGGCAAAAGCTGAGATGCTCCCTCTTGCTAAAAGCAGATGGGGGGGGAAGGTTTTAGTAAGTAGTACAGGAGAGCACTTCAGTTACAGAAAAGTTGGAAAAAACGATGGGACAAATCCTTGCACTCAGATTGGCTGAAAGGAATTTGCATATTGTAGAGAAATAAGCATGTGTGATTATGCAACTCACTCACTTCCAGGTACTGTGGTGGTTTGTGCCTAATTACACAGCAACCCTGCAGTCTGGCTGGAACAATTCCATTTCAGTGGGATTAATAAAATATTGGGGTTCTTTGCAAACCTGCTCACTTAAATGTTTCTATTTTTTACATGTTTGCAGAGATTTTCACTTAGGACCAGGCCAGTTGAATAAAAGCACTCCAATAAAAGCACCAGGTATTCAAGTTTATTTGCCAATAAAATATTGCAACTTTTATTTAAAACAAAATGCAAATTGGCAAAACTTGTGGAACGGCAGGCAAAACCTTGTTTACATCCAGTTTAACACTGTTTGCAGTTCACAGTCAGACAACAGAGTGAGAATTAAATTAGAAAAACAATCAAAAATATATTACAATAACAATTATTAAACAAAACAATTGACAACACTGGTAGTGTGATTGGTGATTAAGGTGTTTTTAGTTTAATCCAATATTGTCCTCAATGAATTCACTACTGATACAAACTGTGCTGAGCTGATCACAATCTTTAACCCCTGTGCACAACACACACATTGGAAGAGTGACCCTTTGGTATAGGCATGTAATTTTAGAGAGAGAAATAAATCAGATGTTCAGTCATCTATAATTTGCTACCAATATGGAATAGGCTAAAGAGCTGTTTCTATCCTCCAGCTCCACTGACCATCCATGCAAAAATCCACCTGCATTAGGTACTGGAAAGCGTGCTGCGCGCACACACAATAAAGGAGGAGGTTTCTCAGCATGCTCTAGTCACTCTTCTCCATTTGTGGCAGACTCTGGAAGTGGTGTATTGTACATTTAAAACAAAGTGGTGATTACCAGCCTGTCACTTGCATTTGTGAAAAAGTGAAACCCACCACTTGCCAGAGCATAACCCTAGAGAGAGACAGGGGATACTGTATTGGAGACATCCTGCAGTAGTGCTTTGGTCACACATGGTCTCCTTTTAAGTGACAGCACAAATAGCAGGCAAGGCCTTTTTCCACACACACACTGGGCCAAATTTTGAAGCTCTTACTCAGGGCAAGCTCCCAAGGGCTTAAATGGGAGGCTGGATAAAACAGTAAGAAGCTCAGGATATGGCCCATGG